GTACTGGACTGTACTAATACAGCACCTTTCTATCTTATCAAGATACTCAAAGTGCTTTACAACACAATCTGTGTCCTCATTTACCCATTCATACAGCACTCTACTAGATCTCTACAAAGAATAATCAGAGCTTTATCCCATTCATATACCGATAGGACACACATCGGAGGCAATGAGGGGTTCAGTGTCTTGCCCAAAGACACTTCAGCATGTGGGTGCTGGTGGAATCGAATGCCTAACTCTCGCGTTGGAGGACAACTGCTCTAACCACTCAGCAGCAGCAGCCCCCAAAACAACAAAACAACATTTCACTTTATCTTGTTACTTCAGGGGAGTTGTAAATTAAGAGTCCAGACGAGCCTGAATCTATCTAATTATCGAAAACGCTCTGACGTACGCACGTCCCAAAACTAAAAGCAATGAATCATATTGAAAACTGAGGGGATCAGCATGCACAACTCAGATGTGCAAATCTTTGCAGGATGATTGGTTAAATGTGTGTTGATTTATTTTTTGGACCAAAGAAACCTTTTCATACTTCAAAGTATCTATATTAAACAACAATTGTTAATAAAACTTCTTTCACAGTCTTTATCTTTTAATTCAGAGAAAGAGCTCCTTTGAAGTGAAAGGTATTATAGTATTTTTTAAAGCTAAACTTGTCAACAGTTTAGGAAATCCATACTTTTTTTTTTTATTCAGAGCACCATTTGTCAACTAAAAATCAAACATATCACAGAGAAATACACCAAGTGTGAGGCTCAGGTTTGCTGAGCCCACATCTGAAGCCAGAAAAGAATAACTATGACCATTTTTGAACCCCTACCAATAAAATAAAAACTAGCTGCTTGGAGTTTTCACTGATATCTTGTTTTCATTTTAAAATATCAATTTTTGTGATTTGTGAACATTTGTAATATCACTTTAAGCGGCAGTCTAGACCGTGGATAGCAATTGTGTACATACACTCACAGCTGCTAAATAAAGAAATGCTGCATGTGTTCTTGTGTGTGTTCGTATTCAGTGAGGAACCAGCGGAGTGTGTTTTATAGGTTGCGCTGAGTGATTGATCATAGCGAGCTGGGGAAAGCAGGTTACTGCAGCACTTACACACACACATTCATTCCCGCTCTGCATTTTTCATTTCCCCCTCTCCCCTCCTCCTTTGTTCCATCTCCATCTTTGCTTCCCCTCCTCCTCCACATCGCTCTTCCACACCTCTCTTTCTCTCTTTCATCCTCCATACATCACTCTCGCTATCCCCCCCCCACCCAGACATCACTCTCTCCTCCTTCCTGCAGTCGCATGTTTTAAACTGCTCTGTCTTTTTTATACTGTCAGTAAGAACAGACAAGAACAACAAAATAAAAAGAATACAAAGAAACAAAAACATCCTGCATTTCCCCACTTTTTTTTTCTTTCTGTCTTTTTATCCAGAGCCCTGGGGAATGGAGAGATGTTGTCACGTGACTCTTTCTCCACCTCCTCCTTTTCCTTCCTCTGTTATCTAGCTGCAGTAGTACTCTGCTGCAACTCTGGCAAGGGGCTCCATTCGGTCTCAGAGGGTTTCCTCTGCCTCCTTTTCACAATATCATCTAACATCTACTCTATGCTGCCATGTGTCCACCCATCTACAATTCTGCAGTAAGAGTTGAGTTTAAGTGATGGCAGTTTGAAGTTGTGCAATAACCAATCACACTTTATGTTGATAGATTGGTATTTATGAAAACAACCTCTGTGGAAAGTGAGGAAAGACTCTGGTAGTCTTTACTTTTTAAATAAAGTTCTCTTCAGACACGAGCCATTGGTGACATGTTCCGTTATGAGACATTTTCATGGTAAAATACTTTGGATTATTTGAAGTGGGTTTGAGTGGAGGAGTTATGAGTGAGTGTCTTACCTGCACCAGTCAGAGCTATATTAGTTTAGAGACTAGGGAAGGAGTCAAAAACTCAAAACTTTTGTTTAGCAGTTAGGATAAAGGCTATCATATATGCTGATCGGCAGTGACTTTATTTCTGCAGAGCTGGGGTGACAGGAGATAAGAGCGATAAGAGAATATTTGCAATCGATAAATTATTTAAAATGGAAAAAAAAAAATATTTGCTAGAGAGAAAGAAAATATAAAGACGTTAAACTGTACAAAGTTCCAGCAGGCTTAGTGCACAGTTAGCATAGCAACATGAGCATTGTTAAGTTGAGTAAAATGTCAATATAAAAAGCAGTTTCTCTCCCACAAAAATGACAATGTGTTGAATTCCCTAACTTATTGTCCACATAAACTGTGAGGAAATTTGAGTCTGTTCTGTCCGAGACAAAACATTTCTCTGGATCGAGTCCTGTCCTGAGCAGGGGTTAGCTTACTTTTCCAGTTACAATTTATCCACAAGTATCAAGATCTATATTGTTCTGATTACAGTCTACTGCAGGTGAGATACTAACTGTGTATAAGAACACAATAAAACCCCACTTCATAAAAAAAACTGCCCCTTTAATACTCACAGCTTCATTCATACATAGATTCATATATAGACACAGTAGCTACAAAAAGCCAAGATAGCTCAATGCTTGCCACATTCCCGAGAATGGGCATTAAAGTAATTGTATGAATGCTTATGAAACATTCACACTATTGGGATCCATTTTTCTTCCGTACATTTTCCGGCATCTTTCTCATTCCACAAAGTTTGTGCTATTTCAACAAATCCATATCAAAATGTTCAGCTCATTCAGGAGAAAGGTGCTATGACATGTGGTACTGGTGCAACTTTAGTTTTTTGAAATATTTAGCCTTTTCTGCCACTTTTTTCTCATAGAAAATCAATGAAGCTCATTTTACATCCTTCAAATCATTAGATCCGTTTACAACCTTTTACTGCTCCTTTCACATTTTGTTCTGGTTCAGCTTCTTTCAGCTTCCTTGTGCAAATTTGAACTCTTTTTCAGCTACTTTCAGCTGTTTAATGCTCCTTTCAGATGCTTTCTGCTAACAAAAACATGTTTGTGCTTCTTCTAACTTCTTTCTGCAAGTTTCAGATTATTCTGCTATTTTAGCTACTATTTAGCCATTTTATGCTAATTTTAGCTTTTTGGCTAATTCCACATTGTTTGCTATAATTTCAATGTTTTTCAGCCTAATTCAGGAAGCATGTGCTCCCTCCACTTACTTCTGGTAATTTAAACTTTGTTCTGTATTTTTTATTTTTTTTTTAATCTACTTTTCAGCAGTTTTTTGATTTTTTTTTGCTTATTTCAGCTTTTTTTTCCAGATAATTTTCACTTTTTTGTACTCATTTCTGCGTCTTTCAGCCTAATTGGGCAAACATGTTCGTTCTGCTTTTTTCTGCTAATTTAAGCTTGTTCTAAATTTTCATCTAGCGTTTTACCATTTTTAGTAAATTTCAGAAGCTTTCAGATAAATTCAGGTTTTTAATGGTAATTTCTGCTACTTTCAGCCTAATTATTTATGCTCATGTCAGCTTGTTACGCTGCTTTCAGCTTTTTCTACTAATTTCAGCTTTTTCCTGCTGTTTCAGCTACAATTTAGCTCTTTTGATGCTAATTTTAGCCTTTTTAGCTAATTCCAGATTTTTTTTTGGTAGCTCATTGCAGTTTTTTTCTACTTCCTTCAGGTATTTTAAGCTTCTTCCTGCACTTACAGCTACTTTTCAGCCTTTTTTAAATTTGTTTTATTAATTTCATCTTTTTTTCTCATTTTCTAATTGTTGTGCTCATTTTTGCTTATTTAAACCTAATTCAACAAATATGCTATATTTCTTATGCTAATTTAGACTTGTTCTTCCATTTCAGCTACATTTGAGCATTTTTTTAAGATAATTTCAGCTGTTTTTCAGCAAGTTCTTCAGCAATAAGCATTCACACTGCATTTTCAGATGAAATGCAGTTTCTCTAGTTAATGTATATTATCAACTTGAATCTAAAGTAGATGCCATTTGTATTATTATTATTTTTAATTTAAAATTGATCAGATAAAGAACAAAGGAGCAAAAGAGAGAAGGAGGGTAATGGAGGATGTTCTGCTACCCCTCTGTCAGGCACTACCATAACAACAAACCTTCTCCCCCATTTTTTCTCAGAAGTGACATTTCATTTTGCCCTGGTTGCTGCTCCCTGCAGTGATGTTCTGATCCGGCCTGTGTGAGTGTGTGTGTTTGTGTCCTCATTAAAGGCAGAGAGCGACTGGGGGGAGTGGCCCTGATCACACAATCGCACAGTGTCAAATCAGACCTCTGCTGTGGCTTCATGAGTGTTTGTGATCAGAAAAAAACTAAAGTCATTATACTGAAGGCACACATTCACACACATACAAATTCAGTGTGGAAAATAATACAAAAAAAAATAAATCACATTTTTCTGATGTTTAATTTTGAAATATCAGAGTAAATTGTAACCAAAACTTTTCATCTTTAAGAAATTGTATTCTGTTCTGCAGACTTTTGTGAAACATAGTGTCATTGTTTTAGACTGAATACAAAAAGACATTTAAAAAATGGTTCTGCAAAAGATGAATCCCCCTAAGTAACTACACATAACATATTTTTGTTACTCATCCTATCAAGCCACTCTCATCAGGTAAACAAGAATAGAAAAAGGTTACAGAAGTGTAAAATTGGCACATGCCCAAAATAAGGTAATAGATTACTATTTTAGACAAGAATAGCCTTTCATTTGTCTTTCAGGGAAGAGAAGAGTAGCTGTGAGACTTACTGGTAAATCTATTAAAGCACAATCAAAATTCTGAAGTCAGACATTTTTAAAATGCTTTGACCTCTGAATAGCAGCCAACAGAACACATAACACTTGTTAATTATCCAAATATGAAATATATTTGGATTAATTTGTACAACAAATAAATTGCACAAATATAAACTAATATTGAGGGGTTTTGTAAATCCATACATACATAATAAAGAATAAACAAACAAAAAAAACAATTAAATAAAAAGGCAATGCTACAAAAAATGCTAGAGTGCACTCACCCAGTGAGCACGACCACAAAGTCCATGACGTTCCAGCCGTTCCTCAGATAGGAGCCCTTATGTAAAGCAAATCCCAGAGCCAGGATCTTAATCCCAGACTCAAAACAGAAGATGGCTATGAAGTAAGGCTCTGTCTCTTCCTGCAGGGAGAGAAGGTGAGGGAGCAAAGTGAGGTATGTTACGAAGAAAAATGTGAATGGCAACACAAAACTAGACCGAAGAGAAAAGTTGAGAATAAGTGAGATGAGAAAAGAACAGAATCTGTGGGAGGCAGAATGTGGGGCATCTTGTGCACATGCAGATTATTGTGTGACTACTTATGAAGCATCCACACTAGTACATACAACTTGTTCAGGAGAAGGGTGCTATGACTTTTTGTATTGGAGCAATTTTAGCTTTTTGAAATATTTAGCCTTTTTCCATCATTTTTTTCCCCCTCAGAAAATGAATTGAGCTCATTTTACATCCTTCAGATCTTTAGATGTGTTTACAACCTTTTACTGCTCCTTTCACATTTTATTCTGGTTCAGCTTCTTTCAGCTTCCTTGTGCAAATATAAACTTTTTTCAGCAACATTCAGCTGCTTTTTCCAGCTGTTTTGTGCTCCTTTCAGATTATTTCTTTTTGTGCTTCTTCTAATTTCTTTCTGCTAATTTCAGCTTGTTATGGTGTTTTCAGCTGATTTCTGCAAGTTTCAGCTTATTCTGCTATTTCACTACTATTCAGCGGTTTTTATGCAAATTTAAGATTATTCAGCTAATTTTGCATTTGTTGCACTCATTTCTACTTTTTTCAGCTTGATTCAAACGAGTCCTTTCTCCACATCTTTCTGGTAGTTTAAGCTTCCTTCTGCTTTTTAGCTACTTTTTTTTTTTTTTTTTTTTTTTGCTAATTAAATTTTTTTTTTTCCAGATAATATCCACTTTTTTTGTGCTCATTTCTTCTTCTTTAAGCCTAATTGGGCAAACATGTTATTTCTGCTTTCTTCTGCTAATTTAAGCCTGTTCAACCTTTTCAGCTACTTTTTGGCATTTTTTTTTAGCTAAGTTAAGCTGTTTTCAGATTAATTGAAGTTTTTCATGGTAATTTTTGCTACTTTCAACCTCATTAACTTCTTTACGGTAATCTAGGCTTATTATGCTCCTCTCAGTTTATTTCAGTTAGTTTCACCTTTATCTGATATTTCAGCTACTATTTAGCTGTTTTAAATGGAAATTCTAGCTTTTTCTGCTAATTCCACTTTTTTTGGAGCTCATTTCAGCTCTTTCCACTTCCTTCTGGTAGTTTTGCTTTTTCTGCCTTTTCAGCTAATTTTTAGCATTTTTTTTCATTACAGCTTTTTTAGCTAGTTTCCTAATTTTGTGCTAATTTCTGCTCATTAAAACTTCATTCAGCAAATGTGTGTTCTTTGCACTTTCTTCTGCTAATTTAGGCTTGTTCTTCCATTTCAGCTACAATTCAACATGTTTTGTAGTCAATTTCAGCAGTTTTTTCAGCAAGTTCTTCAGCAATAAGCATTCACACCACATTTTTGCAGGAAATGCAATTTCTCTCTTTTTGTTTGTTTGTTTGTTTGTTTATTTGTGTGTCATCGTGATGGAAAAATACCTGGCTGCATAAAAAAATGAAGCATCAATTAGAACATCTTACAATCAATTTCAAACCATCAAAACAAATGATCAGACATATGTGTAAAAATAATTGAAATCTAAAACCACTGTAAGAATTCACTGTAAACATGTGATTGTTCACTCGTGTGTTTATTTTGCACATGTGTGCTCTCTGAATACAAGACGTGTGTGTATTGTCCATTAACTGCCACTGTGCTAGAAAGGAATCATTTACTTTTGTGTAAGTGTGCACAATGTTTATGTGGACATGTGCTGTGCATACACATGTGTGTGTGTGTTTGCATAGCTTGTTGTACCAGTCGTTCAGACAGAGGTGTCTTGTCTCCATCAGGAAGATGCTGTTCCAGAGCCAGGACAATGCAGTTTGCAATGATGGTGGTGAGGATCATCCATTCAAATGGAGTATAGCTGGAGTTAAGGTCAATGTAACCAACAGGGAGGAAACGTGCAAACACATACCACCTATATATAGACAACATGTACACATACACATAAATATACATTTAATAATATGCAAACTAATTATCTCACAGCAGACCTCACTCATGGATAATCTAGGTTTAAAACTCAAAAATAAACAGTTGCATTGAAGCATTTCCTGAATACAGTAATGTAAAAAAAATAAGGATGTTTCTTTTATATTATGGTTTATTATTAATTTGATATATATATATATATATATATATATATATATATATATATATATAT